GTGTGTGTGTGTGTGTGTGTGTGTGTGTGTGTGTGTGTGTGTGTGTGTGTGAGAGAGAGAGAGAGAGAGAGACCTGCAGCATGCAGCATATCAGTGGTGGGGAGCACAAGGACAGGCGCTGACCTCCAACAAAAAGAAGAAGTAATTTTATCGGAATACAAGTGTTTTTTCTTTTCGAAATCCGAATAGAAAGGGTACACGTTGTATTCGAATACAACGTGTGCATTTTCTATTCGAGGAACTTTGCTATTCGATAAAAGTGGACCCGCACCGTCTCAATTTTGAAAAAGGACTGCGGCCTCCTCGGCCTCCTACACGCAGCTACCGGTCCTACACAGTCATGGACCAAAACCCGTGCGGTCCCACGGGTAGCCACCCATCCTGCAGTTTCAAATAAGATGTCACCACCCCCTAAACTGCCATGCCTTGTTTTTACAGCCTTCCAACGACCGTATAACGAACGACGACGAAAAATGTTCTTAAGGGGGGAGAACGCATCCCTGACGGGCTGCGAATCGAACGCGTTGACGTCGGAGGTTGCTAGCGGGTCAGCCAGCGATGGATCAACAGGGCTTGACTGACGGGGCAGGTGAAGGTGCAGGCGAGATGGTGGTATCTCGTGGTCAGCGTGAAGAAGGCGTCCTTGCGCAGCGATTACCACACGTGGCGATTCCGGAGGAGATGGCCTCACCCGAGGAACTCCAGCGCCGGGCAGAGGGGTGGCTGTCCGAACTGGAGGATACACAATGACGCATGCAACAGATTGTCGGGGTCCTGTCCTCCATGGCACGGGCCTGGCCGGTGGTGGATTGGGGGGGATCTGCCCTGGCTGCATGGTTGAAGGATAAGTTTGATCAACTGCAAACTATCCTTTGGCAGATCCGGGAGGATCCGTCTCTGGAGGCTTTCGTTGATTGGCGGCGGGCTGATGATTTGATCACCAATTGCAACACGATCTATAGTCAGGGGATAAATTATTATGATGCGCTGAAAGAAAGATTGGCGAGTGAGTCAACAACACAGGTAACGATTCCGATAATGTCAAGTCAAGGTGACGATTCCGATAATGTCAAGTCAACAACACAGGTGACGATTCCGATAATATCAATGACACTCACAACGGTGGCATCTGCAACGGTGACAAACACTTCACAAAAGTCAACAGCGTCGGTGACAAGGCCATCTGCTGCACAACTGCTGACAACTACGACAACTATGACAACGACGACAACAACTTCGACTATAATAATAGTGCCCATCACGATGACATTTGTTACACAACTTTTGACAAAAACTGCCCTGTCGACAATGAGTAAAACAACTGACACACCAATAACTCCTCTCGCCGCGACGACCGCCATGGTAAGTATCAATTGCACTCCCTCACCCCTCACTTTGGGTGGGGTTTCTTGGAAGGCTTGAGAGTATCTGTTGCGGTTGAAGGGTGGGCAAGGGGTTCTGCTCGTCGATCCCACTGCGCTTCCTGATTATCTTTGGGCGCCCTTCACAATGTCACAGCAGGGGAGGGAGCTGATTGGGGGTTGGGGTGAAGGGGGGCTTAGCCATGAGTTATTTCCGTGGGACTCTGGCGGGGAGAGGATGGAAGGGGAAGGCTGTTGCTAGGAGGGTTTAGGATAGCTCTTGAACGATGCCTCGTCGTCTCCTTGCTCACTCTATGTTTCACGGCGAGTTCTTAAATAAAATTTCGGTGTTTACCCGCGAGTATATCAATGGCGTGTTGTCATGTGTTATACTGTTCTGAGGTACGTAGACAGGGTGGCAAGTGTACGTTGCATTTCAGGGTAAATCTGGACAGATGTGGAGGACACATGTTATATTCTTTTAGGGATTAACTGGGATCTACATTCTGTTTGACTTCCTTTGCCCTGCCATAACCTTACCCCTGTTGTAGGGTATGATTGATTGGAAACTATGGTAGGGCAGAGTTTGATTCTGGCATGCAGCGAGGGAAATCCTTCCCTGGTGGGGAAGCAATCAATGCCCAACTGCGGGTTCTGACTTCGGATTAAACTGCCTAGGGTTAGACTTGGAATTTTGTTCAACGCAAACTCTCTTTGTCCTGCTATTCTGCCCCCCTACTACTTCTTACTATGCCAAGCAATTTGAATAGTCGCAGTCGAAGCTAAGTAGGGTAGAGCTTTTGATTTTGTGTGGAGTGGGGTTAATCCTTCCTTACTGGGAAGCAATCAATGTCCCTTGCCAGTACTATATTTTTGTCGAATAGGGAAGCTGTCTCTATGGGAGCAGTGGTTGAGGCTCTTCCAGCCCTAATGGGAGGAGGCATGTGTTTGTGTTGTATTCGTTCTTATAATTTGAGCCTTAGGCACTGGGCCCGTTTTCCAAAAAAAAAAAAAAAAAAAAAAAAAAAAAAGATTAATTTTTTTTTTTTTTTTTTTTTTTTTTTTATAGAAAACATCTGTTGGAGGCGATAGCCCGCAGGGTCGGGAGCAGCCCCCGGATGTTCTCTCGTGAACATGGTTCTGACTGCTACGAGGGCCAAGTCCCATTAGCAGCGTTTAATGTCCTCAACGCATGAATCTTGTCGTTTTTTGTGGAGATGTGCAGAAATGGCGTTGAGTGTCGTCAACCGCACATCTCCACAAACACGTCCACATTCAGGTCGGGAGCAGGGCCCGCAAGTTCTCTCGTGAACACGGTTCTGGCTGCTACGGGGTTCCCCGTATGCCTACAATAAGGAGTAGTGGTAGGTAGGTAGACATTATGCCATCAACCGTGCTTCTGGTTGCACAAAACTACAACCAACCAAATTCAACAAGCCAAAGTTGGGTAATGGCCCCGGTATCTCAAACTTTCAAAATTTAATGTAAAAGCTCCATATGGGACGCTGGGCCCGGTTCCCAGCACGTGATGCTCCCCACGAATAGATTGGAGCCTTGTCCCCCCAAAAAAAAAAAAAAAAAAAAAAACAAGCAACGATCTTCGGCCTACATCAACAAGAGTCACATGAGCAACGGTCGGGACTCGGTACCAGGGCGTTATCATTTGGAACTTTATTCGCAAGCCATCGATCTACAGAATCTAAGGCCTCCAGTCACCTCGAAGGTTCCAAGCAGGATGTGACAACTTACCCAGACTGAAGTACGGTCTCGATGGCCCTTCCGGCCCCATTGCTTTGACTTGCGACAGTATAAGTCACATACGCTTGTCCAGCCTCGATAGCTTGTGTGCCTTCCCGCGCTGCACTTTCCAGGCCCTGACTGCTTGCAGCATTCATTGCGAACGCAAACCTGCGTGCAAGACACACAAGGGTCATGTCCTTCAGAGGTCGAGTCATTTTCCCTCGCCTTGATTTTGGTGAGAGGACTTTCGGATCGCAGTCCGTCGGCCTTTCCTCACGTCGTCAGTCAGCTTCATCGGTCAAGGTCGTGTGGCCATCACCGGTCGTTTTTTTCACATCTGTCAGGGTCATCTGTCAAGGTCGTCGGTCAAGGTAGTGTTGCCATTGCTATTCCAAGGCAGTCACAAACCAGCGGTCCCCTGGTCAGTCCTCCCTTATCTGTCCAATAACCCCTTGTAAGTCAGTCCACACCTCCCTTCCCCCACATCATGAATTTGCCTGCATGCAGAGTCAGCGACCCACCACCTCCCTTGCCACAACCACCCAACGCACAGTGTCATCGCAACACCACTTCTCGCGCCACATCTTCATTTTTTTCATTCTCTCGCTTCTACCTCTTCGCCCCTCTTCGACCCATTCCTCCTCTTTTTCTTCCCCTCCAACCTTACTATTCAATCTCACGATGAAATCTCCAACGAACAACTAGTCACCATTTTTTCCTCTTTCATCACCCCGCTTCGTTCCTCCTTATTTTTACCGCCTACTTCAGCGGACGAGACTATTCAACGAATATTTGTTATAGACCCCCTAACGGCCTCTCTGCTGCCCCTCCAACTATTCATCCTCCCCTTCATCCTTCCCTCCTCAATCTTGTCACTCCAGCGTAACTTCGTCGAAAGGACATTCGGTTCAAAC